TGCAATTCAGCTTCTTTCTTGAGCTCTTCATTTCTAACTCTAATGATTTCAAACTTCTTAGACAAACCTTCTGCCAGTTTCATCTGTTCCCTAGCTTTGGCACTCTCCATATCTGCACGTTTTTTCTCTCTCAGTGTCTTTTGTTTTTCAGACTCAAGCTGCTTTTTCACAGTCTCAAGATTGGATGTCAAAGCAAGCAGATCAGAACTAGTCTTATGAGCTGTAGCTCTTAAAACCTCCAACTCGGAAAGATACCGATCAGCTTTCTTTTTCTCTGATTCTGCCTTCTGCCTCTCGCTTACAAGAAGACTTTTAACCAGATTTATTTCCTCTTTCAATTCAGGAACTTCGGGCTCGATATCCACATCTTTAACCATCATAGCCTTCGTCTTCTTCAATTCTTTACAAATTTGCTCCCTCTCTTCTTCTGAATTATCAGCCCTAAGTGTCTCTTTCTTGAGGAGATTCTTCAGTTCACTAATCTCCTTTTCTCTGCTAGAAGCTTGATCCTGAAATTTTTTCATGTATTCCTTTTTTTCTTGCAGGTTCTGCTCCGATCTCTGTTGCAAAGACAATATCTCAGTCTTCAAATCAGAAACTTCTTTCTCAAGAGACGCTTTTGCCACTGAATCATGTCCCTTAGTGCCCTTGTTGTCCTCCATCTCCTTAATTTCTGTGAGATAGAAAGTAAACAGTGAGCAGTTAAAAATCACAGCAGCATTGAGAACATATTGCCAAGTCTTAAAGGCTATAAAACACATATCACTAATAGATCAAGTTAGATCAATTCAGTTATAAATCGCCAAGGAATCATCATTTTGGAAAAACTAGGCTACTCCAAAATCAATGATCATAACAATTATAATCTACTCTAATTGCTACTCAAAATCAATGACCATAACAATTATAATCTACAATTAAAATCAATGACATAACAATTAAAATTGAGAATAGTATCAACTCACGTTTCTGGAGATTGGCTTTCTCATCATTAGCGGCTCCCATTGCTTTCTGGAGAATGTTAATAGCTTCTTTACAAGCATCACGCCTGTCCTTCATGCCTATGTACTTCCTTTGCCACTGGAAAAAAAAACACAATCCACGTGGATTAGAAAGATTTAAAGTCTACTATTCAGGAAAAAAAAGAAGATCGTACAGCAAGGCAGCAAGGGTTGCCTGAAGGCAACTCAGGTGGAGCATTAGCATTAGCATTAGCATTAGCCGCCATTGCGGGAAGAACTAATCCGATTCTTTAACGAACTCTCACGTAGTTTGGGAGCTCCACGTCATGCGAATCTGATTTAGAAAACGGATTTGGAAACCTTAAACCCTAATTTCAGTGAGCAGAAGAGAGAAAGAAGAGTGTAGCGTTTAGGAAGAAGGGGAGAAAGATGCGACCGCCAGCAGTTGGATCTCCGGGCGGGTCGTGGGGCGAATGTTTGTTTTATATCTTTAATTAGGCCCATTCAGGTGGGAAAATAGGCCCAGCCCACTTAAGTTTATTTCTATTTTGTTTTCTTCCAAATTTGAAACATATTCTATTTAAAATTTTTGAGTTGAGAATTGTAACAAGATGTTTATTAAAAAAAAATCCTTTATTTTTTCTTTAAATTGGAAATCTGAGAAGTTGAAAGTTGATAATTTGATGTTTAATTTGATAATATCTTAAGGTGATGATTGTTTTACTAGTTTTTTTGGTTTCTGGTTTTTAGTTTTTAGTTTTTAGATTTTGGTTTTTGTGTAGAACTAGGTAGTTATTTGAAAATATAGTTTTCTTAGTTTTTAGGGAATCATTTTTAACAAAATCTTGATTGGCAAATAAAGTGGTTTCTCAAAAACAAAAACCAAAAACCATTTTAAAAACTACAAACAATCAACTTCTAAATCAAAAGTTTGACCAACAAAAAAAAAAAAAACTTCTAAATCAAAAGAAAAAAAAAATGAAATTCGTAATCGTAGGATGTCATCAAATCATGTTATGGCATTTACTTGTGTACAAATGGTGGTCATCCTATGCATTCCCCATACGAGAAAGAGTAACACGAGATATAAGATCAAACAGACATTACACGTTTGTATATATTGTTGGTTGCTTTCCCTGAGAAACATACCAAGACTATTAAACAGAATGTAACACATTGATTTACAAACACTGTGGTTTAAATGAAACCCCTTCATCAGATAAACATCTCATAACTCATGAGGGCTGACAAATAATATTAGAGTGGTTTAAATGAAACCCCTTCATATTATAAACTACTATTGCTCTTTTTTGGGAGCTTTGGTGGTTGGAAGTGTCCCAAACACTATGTCCCACAGCGACGATGTTATACCAAATCCTTTGTCCTGAATCCTGAAGTGATGGCTCAAATGGTATTTCTGCACAAATAATTTTTTTTTTAAACATAAACTCTCTATAACGGATTATGTGGGATTAGTAAAGTCTTACCTTGAGATTTTTGGTCACTGATCTAGTTGGGTGTGCATGGTGAAGGTAGTAGTGAGTAACATCGTACATCACGTACCCAAGCATGCCACCTCCAAACAACGCAGGTGTGACTGAAGGAGTTGTAAAAAGCTTCACAAGGTTCCAGAACTGGGACACAAGATAAAGATAGAACGAGTTAAGTTTCTTTTGTGTGTGAAAACAGGAATAACGGTGTGGACAGTGTAAATGATGATCAAATGCTTACAGGAAAGCATAAAACCGCTGCTGCAGCGGGAGGAAAGACGAGTCGAAGGTGGTCCATTGGGTGCTTGTGATGGCATCCATGAAGAAGATAATGTGCTGTGTTTCCCCTGAAATGGTTCCACAATAACATTAGCATGAGTTGAGTTAAAGAAAAATCATAGTGAGTACTATGTACATGAATAGAGTGTGTAACGAACCAGTAACTCTTGGTCTTTATGTGGAAAATGAACCGGTGAACAGTGTATTCTATCAACGTCCAGATAAACATTCCCAAGGCTATCAATGGGACGATTTCTGGAAGTGAAAGTCCCCTGCTTATTGACATGGAGATGCACCAGACTGAAACGGGCAACCAAATTACAGGAACCGCCCACCATCTTGTAAGGGTCAAGAACTGTTTCCATTGCATAAATATGTCAGACAATGAAGACCATATAGGCTAATTGGCATTACCAATTATTAGAAGGTGTATATGTATAACTGAAAAAAAGGAAGGAAAATTATATAGTACCTCCCAAAAGTCACTGTGGAAAAACCGAGGGCCTTCTTTTGTCACAATGGGTTGGTGAACCCATTCCTCGTAAGCTTCACCAAGATGACCAACCTGTAAAACACCCAAAGCAATGACAAGAGGGGGTTAGTTAGCAAACTATTAAAATCCTAAGAAAACATTAGTATTTACCTGAAATACAAGGGGCTTATTAAGATCCACAGTGAATCCTTGAGGAACCATTTTGTAGACCTTTTACTGAACTGAAAAGATTTTAAAAAAGACTTATCAAGAAAAGAACAGACATAGTGCAACGATCTTACGACAGTGTAATTCTTGCAAGGAGGAACGCATGGTGGTGACATAATGAAACAAATATATAAATGTAAGAAATCTCTTCACTAGTTTAATTACTCTAGCAGCTGAGAATATGTTATTTTTTAAGAGCCATGGGTCTATTGTTTATTACGAAGATAGTTAAACGTTATTGTGCTTGTCTGCTTACAAGTATATTACTTGGCCCCACGAGAAAACCCAAAAAAATAAATGATATCATAGCAGAAAGCAAGTGTTAGTTCACATTCAGATGAAATACAAACTAGTTATTATTAGTCATTAAAAACTATACAATACAGCTTATATGTGCTTGTCACATCAAGCACCCCACCACCAAATACTGTTATACATAAGCACGGTCAAATCAAGTCACAGATTAACACATTAAGTAAACAAAACACACAGCTCAGTAGCTGCCAGTTTACAAACATTAGTTCATGGTTTGTTGATTTGAGAAAGAAAATCCAAAATATTCTTGGCCTAATAGAACCATGACTGCTAATAAAAGTTCTTCTTCTCACTGAACCATTCAAAGTTTTCCTGTGTACCACCTATTACTACAAAATGCATAATCAAGTTTAAGAGAGACTTTATGATTTTGTGTTGTTCCAAGGATGGAGCAACAATCTAAAACACTTAAAACACCAAACCAAACACAAACACAAACACAAACAACCTCGCTATTCAAAACACAAAGCAACGAACGAGAGAGGGAAGAGAAGCGACAAACCTAATCGAGAAATGTTGGATCTCAGCGACTCTGACTAAACAACAGCCGTCAGAAGACGAGATAATCACCGGAGCCCTGTTTTGAGGTTTGTCTTTTGTTGTTGTTGTTGTATATGATAGCTAGGGATTATGTAGGTATTAAATATATATCTTCAAGAGAGGGGTACTATATCGAATCTGGACCGTTGGTTTGGAGAGTCACCGTAGATACCGGTGAAGACTGAAAAGCCAACGAATCGTTGAATTGGAAAATCAAAATCAACAACGGCTGTTCCAGGTTGTTTTTCTTTTGGATCTTTCCATAGACTATTTTAGCTGTATGTTTCCACATCTACGCACAAGTTAGCCAAAAACGTAAGTTTTTTTTCTCTATTGTAAGTTGAGTCATTTGTTGTGATGTTGAATGCATGTGTCAGGTAGATAACGTAACCAAGTCGTCATTTTCAACTTGGTATAATGGGTGGGTAACGTAAAAAAATTTGTGATCGATGGAATGTCTTGGCACTGGAAGCTGGGCCGGCTGAGAGGGGGGGACAAACGGTGCTATCGTCCTGGGTCCAAATCTCTGTCCCCCATATGTTACCAATTAAAGGGTTTAATATTTTTTATATTTACATATTTTTTTATAAAAGTTTTAAAATATCTACTAAATTTAGGTGAAATGGGCCCAAAAATATTTTTTGTGTAGATAATATATTTTCATCCTAAATTTTAGAAAAATCAAAGACAATTTTTTTAAAATATATTTAAATTTTTAATAAAAATAAATATTAAAACTTTAATGTTTGTATTTTGTCTGGGCCCGAAAAAATGTTGAACCGGCCCTGAATGGAAGTACATATGAATGTCTTCCACATAATCGAGTGAAATATGGTTTTGGATCTCCAAATTTTTTTAGTTAATATAGATGAAGATTCTCATATTAAAACAAAAAATTGTTACTAACTCTTCACTATATTGTTTAAGCTACCAATAATTTCAGGAGCGTCTGATGTAAGAGTTTAAAGATGGTATTGTAATGGGGAAAAACTGAATTCTGAAGTCCGCCGTCTTCAATTTTGTTTTGGTTTTGGAGCACCATTTATATAAATATTCTCACAATATTAGTCTTTTTATACCAAAAGCCGTTTAGCCTACGAGTCTTTTCTCCAACAAAGAATACAGTTCACACATGATATATCGTAATGATCAATATGCTGAACCGGTTTGTGCATTAATATATTTAATTAGGATATAATCCGTGTCTTGTGTGGTGTGTAATTACAATGTAAAAAAAACAAAGCTTTAGGGTGACTCAGAAAAGATATGAGAATAATGAAAATGACATTATTTAAAATAAATTATAAAATACGAAAACTAACTGGTTTAATAGTTAAGTATGTGTAGATATTTTCAGATATTGTATTAAAGCATATTCGGTTTTGTGTAAATTAAAAATTGTTACATTATCATTTTAAATATATTGTTTTATGTAATTATGTAATTGTAAATCAATTTTTCTAAATTATTAACATATTTATATTTAAAATTTGCAGGGAGAATAAGTATATTTAATACAGAACAATTAGCTTTAATCAATTTCTGACATAAGAAAGCTGATGATAAATAATCACTTCATTGGACCAGACCATAAAGATATCTTCATGATTAAATATTAAAATCAAAATTGGCCGCTGGATGCTAATCATACCTGTGACGGTTTGTTGAGTAAAATCCACATTATTTGATATGATTAAAATTGATTAAGCTTTTGTAGGATTTTGATGCTGCCTCTTATGATTCACCAATAATGTTGTCAGTATCAAGTGCCATGTGAACAACCTCCGTTGCCGCTGTCTTTAATTTTATTTGTTATAATAAAATAAAATAAATGATATTAGGGTAAGACCAAAGATTTAACAAATACAACGGATAATGAAAAAACTAAGCCAGATTTCATTTCATTATTTCAGAGACCTGGACCATTCTTGCTTGAGAGATTAGTTTTTGAGAGAGTTACATAATAGGTTACTTTGTTCTGGATCTTTAACATGTTTAGGTATTTTTCAATGGAGGTGTACTTTGAACCTTACTTTATGATTTTTTATTCCTTAAATGCCCTTATCACAAACAAGAGGTAAGTTCTAAGGGATATATTAAGAACTGTTAGATTAGAACATTTCAAAAGAAATCGGACGGCTGGTGGTGAAGCAAGTACAAACCTACTAAAAATAGTGCATGTGTATAGTAATTGCTCGTCTTCACCTAGTTTTTATGGTGGAAGAACACAAATCTTATCTGTTCAGGAGACGTGTGGTAAGGATTCTAATCCTCGATTTTATTAGGTGTTGCAGAGTTTGTTGTGAGTTGCAATCGTTGTTGTGGTCACGTTAGTTGTGGTTAAGCGTAAATGAAGTTGTGGTTAGCTGGTTACGTGGTTGTGGTTACACGTTTCGTGGTGTTGATGGCGTCTAAAACACCAAGACACCTAAGATTTTGCTAGGTGTTGCAGAGTTTGTGCTTAATTGCAAACATAGTTGTGGTTAGGAGTGAATGAAATTGTGGTTTGTTGTAGATTGACAAGAAGTCGTGGTCAATTAAGTTGAGTGTCCACACAAACACAAAAGTTCCAAACTAGCCAATTTCATTCATCAAATCAGAACCCTGAATTCCATAAAGTTTACAACTTTTAGATCAAATTCAAAATTCAAAAAGACAAAATTTAATCAGATTCTAAAAATCTGAAGAAAATTCTTCGGTAAATCTTCAGAAGATCCAAATGCACCATTGTCTTGCATGAGTGAACAATTTTGAACTGAAATATATTGAGCCTTTTGTTGATAAACCCAACCTTGAAGTAGATGGAATTAGAGGAAGGAAGATTGACCTAAATCTCATCGATGTCGAATCTAAAAAAAGAAACGCTTCATTTGAATACCCTTAAGGTCAGTGATGGAGCTATAACCGATTCGTCTCGATATGGTCTTGACGGGAACTTTTTCTGATTTCTGCATAACCATAGAAGGAGATCTAGGTGTAAAGTATAGCTATAATCATGGGTTAGGGACATAAGAAACTTAAAATCAGAGAAGAGAGTCATACCATTCATTGTAGTTTCAAGAAATTGACGGCAGTTCCGAAAATTAAGATCGGTGAGAAATTGACGGCGGATCTAGGCCAATCTATAACAGAGAATATGGCGGCCTTGGATAAACCGTGGAGCACTGTGAATTTTGGTCTTCGACCGTGAAAAAGAAGAAATCGTCGATGTCTGGAGTTTGGAAGAGGAAGGTAACACCTTAATTTCTAAAGAGAAAAGAGAGATAATAAGGATTGAAGAGTTACGATCAAAGTAAAGGTGAAGACAATGGTAACTACTTGATTTCTAGTTTTGGGGGTAATTTAGACAATAGCACACAAAAAAATACTTGACATGGAGAAAGTATGCTATAATGATATGGAGCAGAGATAAAGTATGTCTAAGTGTAAATTTTTCTTAGTTTTTCACTTGAGGAGCTCTTTATATGTTGTACTCTTCAAAAAGAACATGCTTATCTTTTTCCTAGAATATGACAATCTTAAATATCTAACAATAATGATGTCATACCTAATTATTGTCATTTATAAATACCAGAGACTATAAATAAACAGGTTGACAATTAATCTGATTTTAATTTACTAATACGTTTATGGGCGTGAAGCATGTTTGTTAACCAACTATAGAGGTAGAGGGCAAAGTGTTCAACAAATTTTTGTATAACCATCTCATTTACAACTAAATTGGTTATTTGATTTTTAAAATGGTTTTTAAGACACTAACATATTCCATTGAAAAAGACCTAATAATTAAAGTTTGTTAAAGCTAGTGTGACAAGATCACAACAACTGATTGATATAATTTTGCAATCTAACCATCTTATCCTTTCTATAATGAACACTCACTATCACAGCTCATTCCAAGACAGAACAACAACCAAAAATTTGTTTAAAAAACAAAACAAAATCAATAATGAACAAAATATTCAATTTTCCAAAAACACCCCTACTTCTTTACCACCTCTTGGAACCATCCAGAACTTAATCGGTACCCTTCCAAATATTCTGCATAAATTCTTTTCTCATCTGTCTTGGAAACACCAATTCAGAAAAACTTTCTTTCTCGTGAAGACAAAAACAGATTCCCATTTTTCAAAATTTCCCGGGAAAAAAAATGAGAGAGATCCTTCACATACAAGGCGGACAATGCGGCAACCAAATCGGAGCCAAGTTCTGGGAGGTGATCTGCAACGAGCACGGGATCGATCCTTCTGGAAAATACGACGGCGACTCCGATCTTCAGCTGGAGCGGATCAACGTCTATTACAACGAAGCAAGCGGTGGAAGGTATGTACCACGCGCTGTTCTGATGGATCTTGAGCCTGGAACCATGGACTCCATCAGATCTGGTCCTTTCGGACAGATTTTCCGACCGGATAACTTTGTATTTGGACAGTCTGGCGCTGGTAATAACTGGGCCAAGGGTCATTACACGGAGGGAGCTGAACTGATTGATTCAGTTCTTGATGTTGTTAGAAAGGAAGCTGAGAATTGTGATTGTTTACAAGGTAATTAAGACATAAACTGATTGATCGAACGTTTGATCGAACTATGTCAGTGATGATAAGCAGAATCTTAATTATACTATCATGATCACTTAATTAAAGTATTAGGATCGGTTATGCAAGTTATGTCTTCAAAGATTATGAGTTATAACTTATAACTGTAACACTTAAATTTAAATAAAAAATATAATATTTTGGTGATCATAATATTAGTTTTTAAAATTTTACGAAGGTAAATGTTTTATTAAGCTTTGTTCAATACCTAGTGTACATAGTTTTATGAATCTGAAAACATTTGTTTTTTTTTCTATTGATTATGTAAATTAATTGTTTTTCTATTAATTATTTACAAAGGTAACTGTGATTTTCTTGAACAGGGTTTCAAGTTTGCCACTCGTTAGGTGGAGGAACTGGTTCTGGAATGGGAACGCTTCTCATCTCCAAGATCAGAGAAGAGTATCCAGATCGTATGATGCTCACCTTTTCGGTTTTCCCATCTCCTAAAGTCTCTGACACGGTCGTTGAACCATACAACGCTACACTCTCTGTTCACCAGCTTGTTGAGAACGCTGATGAATGCATGGTTTTGGACAATGAAGCTCTTTACGACATCTGTTTCCGCACCCTAAAACTTGCCACTCCAACTTGTAAGTCATTTCTTCCATCAAATGACCTAATTGCATTTAGAAGAATAAACATTCAAATGTCAAAATAATATTTATTACACAAATCACTAGTGGTATTAGTTGCTTTTCTTACATGTAACACTACACTTGTGTTCTGTTTTGGACATTCTCAGTTGGAGATTTAAACCACCTTATCTCTGCAACCATGAGCGGTGTAACATGCTGTCTCCGTTTCCCTGGTCAACTCAATTCCGACCTCCGCAAGCTCGCGGTCAACCTAATCCCCTTCCCGCGTCTCCACTTCTTCATGGTCGGTTTCGCACCTCTCACATCCCGCGGCTCCCAGCAATACCGCGCCTTATCAGTCCCCGAACTGACCCAACAAATGTGGGACGCCAAGAACATGATGTGTGCTGCTGACCCAAGACACGGACGCTACTTAACCGCGTCAGCTATGTTCCGTGGCAAGATGAGTACTAAAGAAGTGGACGAACAGATGATCAACGTCCAAAACAAAAACTCTTCTTACTTTGTCGAATGGATCCCCAACAATGTCAAGTCTAGCGTTTGTGACATTCCTCCTAAGGGTCTCTCGATGGCGTCGACTTTTGTTGGTAACTCGACTTCGATACAAGAGATGTTTAGGAGGGTGAGCGAGCAGTTCACGGCGATGTTTAGGAGGAAAGCTTTCTTGCATTGGTATACAGGAGAAGGGATGGATGAGATGGAGTTTACTGAAGCAGAGAGTAATATGAATGACCTTGTGGCTGAGTATCAGCAGTATCAGGATGCTACAGCTGATGACGAGGAGTATGAAGAGGAAGAGGAAGATGAAGAGCTCGAGGCTTGAGATTTTTAGATTGTTAAGTGAGTTTGTATTTTTCTTATTTGCTGGCTTTGATTGCTGTCTGTTGTTTTGGGTGTAAATCGTAATGAAAATTAGTTTGTGGGTGAATGTGTAAAACAGAAGATGAGGTTTTACCGTTTTTGGTCCTAATCTTTCTTGTTTTGGTTTATATGTATGGTTAAGGTTTGGTTTGTATTAAGCTCTGTTTTTGAAGTGATTTTGGTTCATTTGATATCTCTATAATATTATTTGAGAAGTCACTTTCTTAGGTGTCGCGCTCACGTTAACTCTCACGTTGGTTGATTACTATTATACCCCTAATAAATTAAAAATATATTTAAATATTATTATTTCCTTTTTAAAATCTTCCAAATAACAATATAAAATAAAAAGGAAATATTTATAAATTTACAAAACTATTTAAAACGAAAAAATAAGTATATATATAATATGGTTTCATATAAAAGGAAAGTTTACAAAATAAAATATTTAACTTAAATATATTTTTAAATAACATAAATTATACTTTTAAGTAATAAAATACTTTATATCTATATCTTCCTAGATGAAAAATATATTTGTATATAATGTGTTTTCATTAAAAAAGTTCATAGAAATAATCTTGATATTAGAAAAGAAATATTTTTTCTTTAAAAAGGTAATTTAAACAATAAAATATATATTTTCAAATTAATTATTTTTTGATATATCTATCTATTTTATTAGATGATTACATAAAATAATTAACATAAACTGATATATGTTTAATCTCTATAATATTATTTGAGAAGTCACTTTCTTAGGTGTCGCGCTCACGTTAACTCTCACGTTGGTTGATTACTATGATACCCCTAATAAATTAAAAATATATTTAAATATTATTATTTCCTTTTTAAAATCTTCCAAATAACAATATAAAATAAAAAGGAAATATTTATAAATTTACAAAACTATTTAAAACGAAAAAATAAGTATATATATAATATGGTTTCATATAAAAGGAAAATTTACAAAATAGTAATATTTAACTTAAATATATTTTTAAATAACATAAATTATACTTTTACGTAATAAAATACTTTATATCTATATCTTCCTAGATGAAAAATATATTTGTATATAATGTTTCATTAAAAAAAGTTCATACAAATAATCTTGATATTAGAAAAGAAATATTTTTTCTTTAAAAAAGTAATTTAAACAATAAAATATATATTTTCATATTAATTATTTTTTGATATATCTATCTATTTTATTAGATGATTACATAAAATAATTAAGTAACAGAAACTGATATATGTTTAATTGACAAAAAAATATAGTTAGTATTATTGAAATATTTTTTGTATATTTATTTGATTATAATATCTTACAATTACAGAAAAAATATAAATTATATTTTACTTATATAATATAATTTCTCAAAAACAATCACATTTTTACTGCATATTTTAATAGATGTTAAAAACAAAACTAAAAATAAATTTAATAATAAACATCTTTTGATCAAATAACTACAATTCTTTTAATATATCATAACACTATAATTTAACAAGGTAGATATATTATAATTAATAATTAAAATTATCTGTTTTCTTAATAACTCTTTTGATGTTTAATTTTCTGTTTTTATGTTTGTGGAATTTAATATAACCATAATCTAATACTTAAAGCAAATCAGAATTCCTTATTTTTAAAATTATTTAAAAAAAAATCAGTTTATTATCCAATCAATCTATGGCATAAATTATTTAGAATTTATAAAATATTTTAATTATTGTAAATATTGATATGTGTTCATAAGTTTTCAAAAATTTATTATTACTTATGTAATTTAGAATCATACACTTTAGTTTTTATTTTTTCGTTCTAAGCACAAAAAATCTTAAAATACATAATCTTACTAAGATATACTTATATTTCGTAGATAACAACTAACGTAAATGTAAATAAAGAATTAATCAAAAATTTAAGATATTTAGAATAAAAAAGATTATAGTTGAATTCATATAAATAGAAAGAATCCAATATATATATATATATATATATATATCCAAATGATAAAACTGACTAAATATAATATATACAAAATGATAATTACTAAAATAATATAATATTATTAATACAAATTATACATACAAACTATAAATTAATATAAAATTTAAAGTAAATATCAATCAACTATTATAATATATTTATTTCTTAAATATTTAAGCCCGTGCATGAGCACGGGAAAATCACCTAGTAGAAGTGACTCTAGAATTTACCTATACTATAAAGAAAACAATTCAAAGTGACTCTATAGAATTAAACCTTACATGGTATAACTGTGCTTTAATCGAAACATCACAGACTGTTGAAAAATAGTTTTTTTTTCCCTCAAACATTCGGTGTGGCTAAATCTAAAGATCAGTTCAATATTAAATACCCAAAGTTTGAGAGTGACTTTTATTTCGTAACAAGAAAGAAAGAGGGTCTTAAATACAAACTTCTGGGAAATCAATCCCAAAATGTACAAAATCTTAAACTAAAAGGACTACACGAGTAAATAGAATAAAATTGAGAAGCAGGGGTATTTCCGTAAATAGGAGCGTTCACTTATAAAGGTTTGGCCGACCAACGCAAAACTTTCTCTTACCCCGCCTCCCTCTGTCGCTACGCACTCGCAGGTGAAGTTGCTTAGCCTTCAAGTTACGTGTATCTATGGTGGTTTACTATCTTAAAAGCTATAATCAAGAAATCCTAACCGTTAGTTAGGCCATTTATATGGGATTATTGATTAGTTATTTCAGATTTTAATCTTTGTGCAGACGATGTTTGATCTATAATATTCTCTAACCACTTTGTTTTGTTTTAGATGTTGCAACTCAAGCAAATATTTATTTAATAATCTCAAAATCTCGTCTTAAGATGCTGCCACGCTGTTTATTTCTCATGTTTATTAACTCATACTTGTCTTCATATTGAGTATAGGTACTATAAAGATAAGCTTGGTGAAGTAGCAGCACAGAGAATGGGAGCAGCGGAGGTTCTAACCGAACCATCAAGCCTATATGAGGCTAACTATGTGAGCAAAGGTGTTCTATCTGACATGGATATGGTTATTACCGTGAGAAACACCCTTGCTTCTGTCAAACACGTGAGTGTATCCGTTACTTATATGTTTACATGTATATATAATATGTTGATGTTATTTTGTTGTTTATGTTATATTGCTTATTCCAGGGGGAATCAAATGACCGTTACGATGAGCTTGTTAAAACGTTGCAGGCTACCAAAAATTCTGAACCTGCAGTTACGGCACAGCTTGTGGTGTGTTGTTCTTCCTTTTCTTTCAACGAGAATCTTTTACTTTGTTTTCCTCGTCTTCCTTTGTTGCTAAAGTGTTTTTTATTCTCTTTTATTTGGCAGACATTATTGAAAGCATTGGCAGGCTCTGTGGCTTACATAGATATCGATATCATTCAACATCAAAAGATTATAGATTTGGTAAGTTTCTAGCTTACATTTGCGTTTTCTAATTAAACTCTCTTTAATATGGATTTCATCTCATTCTCAATTATATTATGTTACAGGTTTTTGGAATGTCATTGTGGGATCTCAAACCGGATGTCATGGATGCTTTTGTGGACCTACTCATATCACTGGTAACAACACTCAACAGTTACCTGCTATCCTCATGTTTAAGTTTTATTTAACCTGGATAAGGAGGTAGACAAGTTTTTTTCGTTTTGTCTTCTTTTTTTTTCCATCACAGGCTGTCACTACAGGAAAGTATCTGGACCGTTGTCTGACTATGCTCGTACACCACTTTGTGCCACCGGATTGGGTGATTAAGAGACTTTCCCAGCCCCGTGTAATTGACCAGAAGATGGAGGTTCTTTCTCGGGTCCATAAAGCTCTTCTGAAAATCTTTTTTTTGTTTCCTCTTGCTCCCTCGTTTATATTGGTCAGACTCGACAAAATCATGCCCAAAACACACATAAAGGGCCAAGTGAGTTTTTTTTTTTTTTTTATAAATTATGTTCTGGCAAGCTCTGCTGGCCAGAAACTTAGCGGAAACAAACAATGTTACTGTCTTGCAGGTGGTAGAGATATTTGTGGAGAACTTATTAAAGCTAGAGAACAGTCCAATCGGGCAAGTTAATAGCAGCACGATTCTTATGATGGTGATGAAGAGGCTGGGAGATATGGATGTAAGTACATAATATGTTTAATACAAAATAACGCCATTTAAATTAATTAATGATGTATGTGCTGGTGTGTTCATTTAGTTGGAGATTGATTGGAATGGTATTCCACAAGATGACTCTAGTAGAGGCATGTTTAGTATGGAAATTGAAGATACTATGAATGAAGGAGATGTAGTTTTTGAGTCTTTGGACAAATTGATGGTCATATCTTTTGACCATCTTGAATCCTGTAAACTTGCTGGTCGTTTGGATGAGGTAATGTCACCAAATATAACTCAACTGACATCTGATTTCCTTCCATTTCTTATGAATTTTTTTTTAAATGATTTGGCTAGGTGTTTGAAAATCTCTTCGAGGCATTTGTTAAATACATTCTGGATACATCCAAACCAAAAGTTTCTCAGGTAGGCAACCACACAGCTATATTTACGGTCCACATGAGATGTCTAATGTTTTAGACTCACATTTTGCAATTCATCTGCCAGTTTCTGATGTTCTATGCATGTTCACTGGATCCTGAAAATTGTGGTGTGAAATTTGGGAGTAAGCTGATGGACATTTTCCTCTCCAGCAAAGAGCCACTTAAAAGGCAAGTTTCATCTTCTCTTCTATGGTCAAAATTAACACCGCTCTTTCATGTACTAATGAAAACTTGGTTTGTGCCTTTGTGGTTTTGTTTCTCCCTCTTTTTTTATAACAGGATGACTGCGATGGCTTATCTAGCTAGCTACTTGGCTCGTGGGAAGTTTTTGCCTGTTTCCTACGTGGCTAGCATGCTAAAAAGGTATGCAACAATTTCTAAAACATGTTACCTAAAACAGAAATGTATGATCAGATTTTGATTCTGTTGTGTCTATTGTCTAAAAAAATATTTAGGTTGGTAGAAGAGTGTGCGGAATACTGTAGAATTTGCAGTGATGATATTAACTCTGCTGCACATCAGATTTTCTACTCCGCATGCCAGGTATATATATTGCCTTCAGTCCCAAGCTATACATTCATCATTATTTTAAACCTAGTTTGATAATATTCTGTGAACACAGGCGATCATATATGTGCTTTGCTTCCGGATGAGATCCATCTTAGATGTTCCTCGCTTTAGGTCTGAGCTTATTCCATTGGAGTCAATTTTAATGCACAAACTAAACCCGTTAAAGGTTAGCTATATATATATACTCTGATCCCAGTGGTTTTTCACCTAAAGTATCAAACGCATAATAAGTTTTTGCAAACAATTCTGTTTTGGGAACAGAAATGCATTCCATGGGTAGTTGCAGAGTTTCTTAAACAAGCTAAAGCAGGTGGCCTGTTCGTTGTCTCAGACTCCTTCATTTCGGATAAGCTACTTGAGTCTAAGAGGCTTGATGCATTCTTCCCTTTTGACCCTTGCTTGTTGAAAAGTACTAACAGGTTTGAACACTTTCTCTCATTTTTTTGGCTCGTCATATGTATATCTTAAAATGGTGGTTTCATGCTCTTGGCTGATATTGAAGCTTTATCTCCGGGAATTACATCTACTGGTCGATGGTGAGACCGACTTATGAAGAAGATGAAGATGATGATGATGAGGAAGATGCTGAGATAATTGTGAACGGGGATGAGGAGAGTGATGAAGAGGACGAAGATGGTGATTATGCCATGAACGAGATGTCCACAACGCCTAAGCATTCTTTTGTTAACAAGATGGAAAGAGACATGCTTCTCAAAATGCCTTCCATGATCAGACCTTCCATTAGTCCTTTTGAATTTTGAGTTTTTTTTGGGAGATGGTCTCTATACTCAATTTTTGCAGAAATAATTTAACAGTTATTCAGATAGACTCATAATTTTTTTTCTTGTCCTAAATACTTAAATTGTGATGGTTCTAAAGAAAAGATTTACAGTTCTTATTGTAAGTTCATTGTGTATGCCTTGATTATATGTTTTTATTAGGAAATTTGTAAGTCCAATTTGTATTCTAAAATGAACAAGACCCAGTGATCTAACATCACATTTTTTCAGTCGATGACAAGTAGATAACCAAAAACTATATCTACTGAAAAGGAAAAAAGTCCCAAGTAGAAACTAAACATCAATAACATTATACTGTATGTGTAATTATGTAGCCTGATCCTCAAAACCAATATATTGAATTAAAAAGAGTGATTCAACCTCATCTCCAAGACTCCAAAAGGATCAATCCATATTAACATTTTATTTATTTAAACAAAAAAAAAACAGTTTTCTTTCTATTTATAGGAAATGAAGGCCGGTTTAAATGGACGTAAACCGAACCGAATCTTCGTTTTCGATACTGGATGCTTCTATGATGACTCGCACAACAGAACAAACGAAAGAAGTGTATGTAAGGGCAACGGGCAGAGGTGGGGACAAGTGAAACTAGTGGAGTTGAAACAAAATGAGAAGATATTCGGGCAAGTATTCAAGATCTGCCCGTCCTCACCTACTAATGGCTGTCTCTTCCGTTGGACACTTGTCCTAATGGTAATTGCCTTCTATTTTATTTTATTACACAGCGTAACGTATCGTCTCTCTCACTCCATATGTTTTTTCATAGTTTTCACAGTTGACCTATCCAGTGCGAGTGTCCAAAAAACGGCACAATGTTTACGAATAGTATAGAAGAACGCTCTGAAGTGTAAAGGTTGATTTGTGAAACGTCAGGTTGTGTTCCTAGGCCTCTGTTCGTTATTTCGTCTCTTCTTTAAGAAGCAAAAAAAAAGAAAAGAAAAAGGAGACACCTTTATCGATTTTGTGAGGGTAAGATCCAGTGATTGCATCAGCTTCAACAATTTTAAAAAATACCCAGGTAATTTCTTTTGTTGTTTTCCCACCACGATATTTAAAAACTTTAGCTTTGGTACTGTATATTGTTTTTTCTGGGTAATGCTTTTGGTGTGTATGTGTGGAGATGTGAAACTAGAGGTTAAGATTGATATCCTTTTTGGTTTATCTTGATTGGTTATGATTGAATTCTCAAGCTTCCAAGATAATCATTTACTGTCTTTATTTAGGTGCTTTGTTGTTGTTTTTGTTACAGTTTGTTCGTTGGAGCTTTGAGACTTTGTAACTAGGAGATAAGGACAAGTCTCATGAGACATGACTTCTTCAGTGCATGAGCTCTCTGGTTTTTGTTTCTTTCTTGACCATTTCCTACTAGTTCTCTTATGCTCTCTGGTTTTGTTTCTATTTGCGACCGATTTGTAAGCTGATTCTTGGTGGTGTGTTTGATTGGCCAGATAACAATGAAAGTCATAAGAAGCAAGAACGTCCAGATTCTCAAACCCCACCACCGGTTCCTTCAGGACCATGTTCAGATACTAGCTCCGTCTACTCAGAGCCGATGGTAATTTCCCTCGTTCCTAAACTAAATCCCTAGTATTTGTGCCGGACTAAAGTTATATTGCTTCTGTAATGTGATGTTTGGTTTCGTTTCGTGTGATACTGCTTCTGTTATGTGATGTTAGGTTTAGTTTTGTGTGATCTTGCTTTCTGTTGTGTGCTCTTTGGTTCACTTTCGTGTGATTCTCCTGCCTTTGTCATATAAGAGTTAACAACATTTCTCTTTATCTGCATATTACAAGCTTTTGCTTTGATACTTACAATGTCATAAAAAAACAGCTATTTCAGACAGGAATGTTTTGATTTCTTTTGTCCTGTTATTATCACCTCTCTGCAAATTTAGAGTTAGTGAGATTGTAAACAGTGACTGCTCTACACTACAGCCTTGAGATGCAATTGAATAGTACTGAATCTCAAGTAATGTTCAACCTTTTCAAGTTGAGAATTTGAGATGAATGCTATCTATGGTGTTTGTTTTGAAGGCGCATGGGCTCTACCCGTATCCAGATCCTTACTACAGAAGCGTCTTTGCGCAGCAAGCCTATCTTCCACATCCATATCCTGGTGTATGTATTATTACTCAGCCTCGATGTTTTGGATATTCTGAAAATGAGAAAGCTTTCGTTTTACTTATCTAAGTTTTTTTCAGGTTCAAATGCAGTTAATGGGAATGCAGCAACAAGTGGTTCCATTACAATGTGATGCAATCGAAGAACCTGTTTTTGTTAACGCAAAGCAGTACCACGGTATACTAAGGCGTAGGCAATCCAGGGCAAAACTTGAGGCAAGAAACAGAGCTATCAAGTCAAAGAAGGTGAGCAAAACCTGTGATTAGTTTGGTTGGTTACTTCTCTTATATGTGCTCTTAACTACTTGTGTGTTTCAGCCATATATGCATGAATCTCGTCATTTGCATGCGATAAACCGACCAAGAGGATGTGGAGGCAGGTTTCTCAATGCTAAGAAGAAGAATGGAGACCGTACGAAGGAGGAAACCTCTGATGAGAACACTTCAGAAGCAAGTTCCAGCCTCATGTCTGAGAAATCAGCTGTGGCCCCTAATTGAGTAAAAAGTTCATGCACAACCACAAGTTTAGTTTATATTTTGGGTGGATGTTTGTATCAGTGCAATATTGTTTTTGGACACTCTCTGTCGACTGTGTATAGGTTTATTATTGCTTGGAGCAGATAGGGAGGTCGTTTTGTTTTAGTGATTAGAAATAAAACTGAGCAAGGAGATGGAAGTGGTTGAATGTATTGTTTGTATCAAAATGATCTTTGCCAATGAATTGATGTTTTGGGAACTTAACCAATGTTATTAGCTTTGTTTGCTTTCGGTTTTGAGGATAAAGTTTATGAGTTTGAATGGTCACTGTACTAATCCGTTGCACACACACACACAAAAAGGAAGTATGAGCGTTGCAGGTTTGGTTTTTGGTATATGCATTCCTATAAATCAAAGTTTGCAAATGGTGACAATAAACCGGTCTAATGCAAGAATAATGAGTACAAATTCAAAATTTTGATCTCATACTTGGTGTAAGATACTCTATCTATGTTTATTCTAAATAAAGAGAAGCAAAATCTGCAATGTTTGTGAGAAGTCGAGAGAGTATAGTCTCGCAAATATAGATATAAGATTTTTATAATATTTTAAATGATAGAGTTTCTGAAAACTTGACTACATTAGAAATTTACACCAAACTTTTCCACTACCAAATTTGTTCGTTTTAGGAAGAAGGTAGAATATAGTACTTAATTTGTCACTTTACTATGCACTAAGCATAATCATTTCATTTCCAGACAATTTACATTTCTCAAGTCATGTTTTGTTCTCTTGCGCTTTTTCTATATTAGTATTTATTTATAAATTTTGATTTAATAAGGTTCATTAAAAGCATTGCTTTGTTTTTCAGACAGCTTCTGACTGAAGGTTGGGTTGTTGGTGGCATATTCATATTGCGCTTTTAGTTACTACTCTCTTTGGAGTTTGGACACTCGATGTAAAATTTTCAGAGATTTTTTTAAACAAAACTAATATAATCAAATGTAATCTCTAATGACACATGTGTTTCCTTCGCGAGTCTCTATATGAATGCAAATATTGATAATTACGACGTTCTAGCAGCGCTTAGAACAAAATTCTGATTTTGATATATAGGGCGGACATCATCAGTTTTAGACTAGTAAGAATTAAAACCAGCTCGTAATCTTTTCGTGGTAGATCATACCATTAACCAGAATATACTTTGGTTGAGTTATAGATGTAATTATAAGATTTATGTGACTTTGTATTTGAGTATTAATATTATGACTAATGGATCCGTGGTTTGGAAACGATCCTCTTTTAGTCTTCTTCGTGATTCTTCAAATAAAATTCGATGTTGTCATTATGACGTAATGGAAAAATTATTCGTTTTTTATAAGCTTAGTTGTTAACCTCTTGGCGAGTTATATCCACAAACTTTGATCCCACTCATAATTATTAAGTATATATGGTGAATATTATATGATGGATACAATATATGCATGAGCACCCTATCAAACTTGGAGACTTCCTTTCTATCCATGCCTCACTTTACACCTCTATCATGCCCATGCATGGGTCCCTCTCTCCACCTCTGTCTCTCTCCGAACACAATAGGAACAGAAGGGAGAGAGATGTGAGATTGAAGCAAAGCAAGAAGAACACAATTGTGACTTGTGTCAAAAAATAGAGCTTTTCATTTGACTTTTGTTTCCTTAACTTTCATTCCATAGAGTGGTATAAAAAGACACTTGTGCTTTTCCTTTCTATTGATCATGTGATTTCATTATCATTGCTGCATTGATTTCCCATTTGTTTTCCATTTTTGGAGAAAACTCATGTTTTGTTTCTGGTTTATCCGGTATCATATGGTGTTTATAAAAAAGCTTGATTAGCCCTAATGGATGCGTTATTGTTGTTAATTATTTGGTTTATAGACTTCATTTCAATTAACTTTTATAGTTGTATATATAGTTTGATTAGCTATATGGATGCATTGTTGTAGCAAAGTATATTTTTATAAAGTACCTAACAATAAATTTAACAGAATAAGTTATAATACGTGTTCTTTTTAGTTAACGAAGAACGTCATTTATTATAGTTATATATAGAGTGGTTTCAGTATTGTATAAACCAATTTTGAAAGTTATAAATCCATGAAAATCTTGTAGTGCTTATGGAAAAGTCTTTTTCGACGAAAATTGAGATTACATTGAGATTGTATTGGTCATGAAGATTGTGTATTGCGTTATTGCGTAGTTGAAAATTAGATTAAGTATTTAACGATGGTACGTTGAAAATTATCAACTTATATATATCCACTCGATGTTGTCTGATAAGTGATGACTTTTTATATTTAGATGAAAATTCAGCCAAGCAATAAGTATAAATGAAGGGTTGTGAAATAAATTTCATTCCAACTGATCAGTCTAAATCCAAATAGACAATATCAGACTGCACTCATTGTGATAATCTCAATTTATTCAAAAATATTTACATTAGTATTTACATATTATCTTTCAATGTTTTCCGTTCGAACCTTGGCTCTATGAACTTAGGGTTTTCTTTGGTGCCATCCCTCTAGCCTCGAACGTCCAAATACCGCTGTTGGCAAACAAAAAGAAAGGGCATGCTTTGTAAAAAAGACATACAAAATGAAACTAATAAAGACATGAAACGAGATAAAGCGCAGAGCTATACGTCCATTGGTATGTTAGCTCCAAAAAAGTATATCAATGGTGGAATGTGACACTAACAAAAGAACTGAAAATTTGGGAAATCAAGCAATGTATGTAAGTGTATGGCATGGGGACAAGAGTAAGTGGACTTGGCCCAGTGGGGTAACCTTGTGCTCCATGCCTCTTGCTAAAAATAAAAAGTCGATACCACAATAAATATAGTATATTAGTAAAGCCAATTATTATTTTTGTGAAGATAGATATTGTCAAAATTTAAAGGTTTGACATTCTTTTTTATCCAGCAACCAAATTACTACTCACTTATACTTTTATTTTTTCCTTATTATGAAAGCATCCAAAGCCTTTACAAGAGCAGTGCATAATGTATAATGTGTTATGGGTCCTATACCTTCTTTGCCTTTCAGATGATTCAAGCCGAGGAGATATAGAAATGTCAAAAGGCTAAATGCCGACTCATTAATTATTACATAGGGCCCCTGGCATAGGGCCAATGCTTTACAGAGTGTGGTAATTTACGAATGCGTTAACGTTAAATTAATCATTTTTTGCAATTACAGTGAAACCTCTATAAATTAATAATGTTGGGACTACACCAAAATTTTATTTTTTTATTAATTTATAGAGATATTAATTTATAGATATACTAATTAAACCAAAAACTCAATTTGGGACTATAAAATTATATTAATTTATAGAGATATTTAGTGTATATTAATTTATCGAGTATTAATTTATAGAGGTTCTACAGTATATGACCCCAAAATCAGAAAACAGCGAAGTTGATATATAACAGATAAACTAAACTATATGTCTACAATTGCTTATAATTTTATGAAAGCTCTTTCAGCATTAATCTTTATTTTTTATTTTACACGTACAAGTTCCTTACGTCTGTTATCAACAGAAACCAACTAAGCTGTATATGATCAAATTACTAAAACATATTGATGATACGTCTGAAATTGGACAACGAAAAGCTCTTTTTTTTTTCTTTTTGCTTCTATCTTACTCTAATTTCTTTGTAACGCATGCACTTGTTAGAAAATACATGTGACAAGGTGTAGAGTTTAACCTATTTTGTTTTCTTTACATTTGCGATGCGCTATTGTAGTATGTCTGTAAATTCATGTCATTTAGATTCCGATATTTGATAACTTTGTAATATATAAATGATTATTTTGTTAACTTTGTAATCAAGTAACTTAACGAAATAAAGATATATGTCAAACCGTTGTTATGTTGTAGCAATATTCTGCACACCAGTACTACTATCCAAAATGAAAATTTTCTAAACAAGCCCAATATTCTTTTCTAATTTTTAATATAGGTTTTTATATTCTTTGATTAGCCTTGGATATTAAAACAAATCAAAACCGAATTCGAATTCCAGGTTTAACCTTGGATATTACACTGATTATACCAACCATGATGTACACATGATGTAATAGAAGTTAGAATTATCAACTCGTGAAGCGAAATAAACTCAAAAAGAAAAATGTTTTGAGTGGCGCGAGAAGAAACCTCGTAATATTGTAGTGTAGTTAATTGCGTTTAAGTGTTTTTTTATAGAAAGAATAGAACTTGAAAAGAATATATTTGGGTGTATTCGATAGAGGAAAAGTATAAGTTGTTGTATTCTTAATTACAAAAGAAAAACGTTTTAACTTGGAAGAAAAAGACATAGGGGGCTACGTGGGTGTATCTGCCATGTAGAAAATCGAAGCGCATGCACAAAGTTGGATTCATGATGAGACCTCACATGATCCCCTCTTCATTTAATTCATTTACTCTCACTCTTTCTCTGTCCTTATTATTTTAAATACCTATATTTTAATTATGCCCCATAGTAGTATAAACGTAGACCGTAGTTATAAGAAGTTAGCCGTTTGTCCAGACATTGATTCTGTTCAAATCGAAACTACCCAATCGAAATCGATACAGAACCAAACACAGATTGTACTGAACAATGCCACTCTTGTCTTTTCCCTTTTCTTGATTTTCTTGAAAACTAAATCGATGCAAAATCGAATTAGTACCGAACTACTTATAACTGACTGAAAACATATTTGACATGAAGTCCTATCAAACTAGTTAAGCCAACCTTTTTTTTTTTACGTAAATTTAAAAGTTTAATATTTTATGCAAGATTTTAACTATTGTTTATTTAATAAAGAACTTTCACGCTTCTTATTACGCGCTCAGTGACATCGCATACAATTTTCCACATGCAACATCGATACAACTTTTAATAGCATCAACATCGTAGTGAATACCAACTCACATGATGATCATATTTGTACATGTACATATATCAGCATCATCATCATAATGATCATCAGAGAGAGCAACAAGCTTATGTTATGTCCTTCTCACAGATATAAAGATTAAAGACGACAGCTTTTTTCCCCTAAGTTAGCAAAAGACCCGTTTCGTCAAATATCCGTTTTTCTTCTGACAACCCATTTCATTTTTTCACATCTCGAATAATAAATAACAATTTAAAATGGAAAGTAAGAAAAAACCAAACCTATCTCTCTTCCCTGCTTATTCAGTTGGTTAATTTTATTTTTATATATTACATTTTTTTATCATTACTGTTCT